TATAAGTACTTATAAGGATATCCTGGAACCCAAAAGATGCCGCCTAACGCTGATTGGCTGCCTCAGGCGATGGGATGGGGACTAGACGATGACGTCACAGTGCCCCACACCAGAGAGATTATGTCATAGTTTCACAAAGTGGTACTAAAGGGCGCTACTGGCTTAGGGAGGGTGTAATGGGCTAAAGTAACTAGCTGCTACAACCAGGGTTGAGCCAATAAAAAGAAATATTATACTCTGACAACCAGAGAAATCTAAAGTGTGACTTTCAAACCATTGAACTACAAAGTTGATAACTTACCAAAACAGTAAAGAAACATATGTCTGGCCAGGACTTGAAACTAACGTTAATGAACAATACAATACGTAGTTCCAGATTAATAAATATTTCAATAAATATATAAATAAAATAATAAGGAAAAAAGAGCCAAACAAATAAAAAACCTTGTTCCAGAATAATAATATTCCGTATTTAAACTACAAAATCACTAATAATATCGAGGAATGATCAGCAATAATAGTTTTCAGCTATATTTCGTAAACTAACTTCTTACATCTGAATGTAGGATTTTTATTCACTTGTTAGACTACAAGATTACGAATCATGTGTTCGTAATTTACATAATCTTCTGCAACATATCTGTAAATAATTTACATACTCTTATGCAACATTAATGATATTTGTAAGTCGCTGCTAGGGGAACTGTTGTCAGTCTCGTAATATATGCAAAATACTCAAAATAAAATGTGATCATCTGTTAGGTGAGTTAGCATTTTAAATGTAACTAAAACTTCATAGATAAACTACACGAAAGAAGGAATAGTAAAGGAATGATGAACAAAATCATAACCAAATAAAATCAGAATTTGTTATCTCACAAGAAGTGGCATCATAGTTCTAGAAAGTGGCACCAGAAGGCTCTAATTTTTCATTCCACCATGGCTCTTGACAATGAAAGTTATCTGCTGCCAGAGAGTGCATTGCTATGAGATATCATGTTACATCATAGTTTGAGTATTACTCAACAGAGAACATGTTGCTAGAAGTAATAATTACACGAAGTGACACCAGAGGGTGCAGCTTGAAGTCATTCATGTAATGTACTTAGTGGTAGCAAAGTGATTTACTACCGAATATATTAACCATTTCTTAAAATTATAAATTCAAATGAAAACAAAATTATATACAGAAATGGTTAGTATAAAAACATATTTTAAGCCAAACATTATAATTAGTGAAACATGCATTATATATATATATATATATAAATTGAAATAGTAAGCTTTTATGTTAAATTATTCTATATTATTTAATTAATTATGTTATCATGAAAATCCATCCTTTTCAGGATGACAATTGTAAAAAAGTATGTTATGAAAATTAAATATAGAAGCAAAAATATACTACAGTACATTAAATGTGTACAAATTCATAAAAACACAATTGGCTATACTAAGTATTTCTGTCAATATTTATAAAAACAAAACATTAGGACAGATAATTTCAAAAGTACATAAGGATAATTATTGGCTGAGCTTTAATATTTGCCTCATTCAAATAATGGATAAGACAAGACAAGTATGTGTGAGAAAACTTACATATATAATACACTATGTTACAGTAGTTTTCTCGTTAATATAATGGTTTTATTTGTAACTTTTTAGGAAATATAGTAAAATCTAGACATTGATGACATAATCACATGTTAAGACACATTGAGATACCCTACGGTGAGATCTTCATCCTACTGAACTATCCATTTAGAGAAATACCATCCGTTTATAGAACCTTAGTAACATTATCTGCCTATAGAACATAATGACATAATCCACCTAGTAACACCATCTTCCTTTGTAAAACACAAGTTATACATCTAGCAATGCACTCTATGGCAATAGACAACTTCTATCGTCAAGTGTCATGGTGGCATGGCAGCTTCCAGCCCTCTGGTGTCACTATGTGGAAATATGATGTCACTCCTCTGTAAGACAGTATCGTCCTCTGGTGCCACTTCATGGATATATGACGTAATCGTCCATAGTGCATGGGATTATGACGTCATTGTCTAGTCCCACCCCGTCTCCTGAGGCCGCCAGTCAGCATGAGGTGGCATCATTTGGGTGCCAGGGTATTCCGATAACTACTAGTTTTGTCACGTGTTGATAGTTTAGTGTATGATTAGTCTTCACCGAACTAATTAGAAAGAACCAGTTTAAAACAAAATCCATGAAAGTACGGGCAGTCTCACTATGCTCAGAAGCAACAGTGTGAAACCAGTCATGGCTTCCATGATTGAAATATCACCTGGCAAATATTTGGAAATGAAATTTTGGGCAGTTAAAGGATACTGTATACAATAACAAAGAATAGCAATAAGACTCCATTTTTTTAGTAGGAGCTGTATATAAGACTCTGAAGAGGGTACATGAGACTGTTAATAATAAAAGTAATAGAGTTAATGTTAAGTATCTCTTGTTCTTCATGAGACGATTCGAAGGTCGAGTAAAGATCTTGTCAATGATCTCACTATAAATACAGACGTGAATAATGCCTAGAGAACAGTAAGGTACACATGAGCACAAAGTAGTCTCACCAGACGTATACCTGCTCGAGAATAGCTGTTGGGAAAAAAGCAACCAAACCAAAAGGTTGAAACTGACATCAAACTACAAACAATGGAATAGGCAAAGCTGGAAACATATGTAAATTTGAATTGTTTAGCAACAATCAACGACAGTTTTTTGACGTTGGAGAGAAGAACGATATTATAGTCAATGTACAACATTTACAGAAACGTGATGGGATATTAATACAAGTTTTTAACTGCATCTCAGCCAGCAATATCTTTGATATAAGCAGATTCTTATCCATCGCTATTTCCTCAACAAAAAAAAAAAAAAAAAATAACGGGCAGGGATTCATCATCTTGCAAGAAGAAAATGATCCCAATAGTACAGCAGATGTGGTGAAGTGATATCTAATGGTAAGGTGGAGCAGTGGAACACTCACCACCATGGTTTAGTCAAGAAAAATCCCGTTATGAACATTATTGAGGAACGCGGGCTTATATAAAACTGAGTAAGTCAAACGCAACCAAATAACTTGACTGACGTATGGGAATTAATATGATTAATATAAAGCATTTTGAACAACGTTTCACAAACATACATTAACAAACTGAACGGCGGTATGAAAATAATGTGTAATGCTTTGTGTAAAGCAAATGATTCACACTCAAAATACTAGCGCATTGTATAACCTATTTGGCTTTTTTTTTGGATAATGTTTTGTACTATTACTAAGTTCCTCATTTAGCTCAAATTATTCGTTGTTTGTGACTCCTGTATTTGTATTGCTTATTATAATTATGTAGTGATAAAAATGATTTTTTATCATATTACAATTAAATAGTACATAAATGTTTGACTTTGTAAGAACTTTTTATCAGTAAACAAAACAATTGGTTGTATAGGTGTCCAGTCATGGGGAGTAGCTTGGTGGATCAATGGACTCTTGATACCAGAAATAACAGTGGAACGATATCAGAATTATACTTTTATAATTGAGGGTGGTGAGGATCCATCCAACACCGCTAAATACCACCCACTATATATCACTAACAACCCCGAGGGTGGAGGGAGCCAGGTCTTGGATCAGCTTAATTCATCTGTAAGTGGTAATTTGAAATAACTATTTACCAGAGAATCGTTTAAGTAGAATTTAGAATGTACCAGTTTTACAAAGCCTATATCGCTGTCCAATGACAATTATATTGCTCGTATAATTGAATCTAATTCACATTATTTATCACTTTTGAAAGAATTAATCACACTCTATTATTGTTCAGTGATTAATGGTGTTCCATTTCAAATTTAAAGATGTTTAATTTTGATTATATCTGCACGCTAAGTGGGGGATTTTATCTAAGAGGTAAAACATTTACATTCACGAGTTCAAGGCCATTTAATTGCATCCACGAACTGAGGCGTTTATATCATTGGGCTAAGATGATGCAATTCACGAGCTAAAGTGTTTATATGATCACAAGTAAAGATTATAATTTATACACAAGAGCTTAGATGATTATATTTGCAAACTTAAATTATTATATCCACGAGCTAAGAGAAGCATGCTAAGGTACTTATATCAATGATTTTTAGGTTATTACATGCATTAGCATATTTAATTATATACATAAACTGAGATATTAAATTCCCGTGATAAAATGATTATATTTACAAGTTTCGAAATATTCACTCTTAGTGGCACTTCATGAAACTATCCGCCCTCTGATGCCACTATGTAGAACTCTTACGTCACGTGACTCCACCACGCCTCAAAGGATACCCCCACTTGGCAGGGTGCCGGTATGTCGGGGGTTTGATTTGTTTTGAATTTCGAGCAAAGCTACACGAGAAAAACCTGCGCTAGCCGTCCCCAATTTAGCAGTGTAAGGTTAGAGGGAAGGCAGCTAGTCAATACCACCCACCGCCAAACTCTTGGGTTACTCTTTTACCAACGAATAATGGGATTGACGATTCAATCCCGCGATCCGCAAATTGCGAGTCGAGTACTTTAGCCACGCGTTACTACTTTTGTTACCTTAACACATGAATCTGATCACTTTAGGTCTTACGTGTAATGCCTAATTTCCTTAACTTGTAGCTGTGTCGCCTTAGTGTGTTGTTAGGAACGGGTAGTCTCAAAGTGTGCTACTAGAGGTGGGTATATTATCATCGCCATACACTAATTAACGGGTAGTCTCAAAGTGTGCTATTAGAGGTGGGTATATTATCATCACCATACACTAATTAACATTCAATTCACATAGTGAACTATTTTTCACATTACTTTAGAATGATCAAAGTGTATGTATATATATGTCGTATGCATTATATTATGAAAAAAAAATCATTCTCTTTAGTTCTTGACCCGATATTAGTTTCTGCATTATCATTAAGATCAACTTTCTACTTTATAGTTTCACTTCAATAACAATAATAGACAAATTGTTCGAATACATATAATTAATATTACTGTTTGACTATTTTTGTAGTGTACTTCAACGTATACACATATACTAGTTTGGCTTACAAACTACATTGAGACTTGTTTTCCAATTTATTTAAAATGTTCAAACTCTAGATATATATTGTTATATATCTAGAATGAAAAATAGACAGTATGACTGCATTGAGTTTATCATGCGATATACAACCCTGGTTTTATTGTGAATATGTAAAATTAACTTTCTATTTTATCATGCGATATACAACCCTGATTATATTGTATGTAAAATTAACTTTCAATTTTATCATGCAATATACAACCCTGGTTTTATTGTGAATAAGTAAAATTAACTTTCTATTTTATCATACGATATACAACCCTGGTTATATTGTGAGTATGTAAAATTAACTTTCTCTTTTATCATGCAATACACAACCCTGGTTTTATTGTGAATATGTAAAATTAACTTTCTATTTTATCATGCAATATACAACCCTGGTTTTATTGTGAATATGTAAAATTAACTTTCTATTTTATCATGCAATATACAACCCTGGTTTTATTGTGAATAAGTAAAATTAACTTTCTATTTTATCATACGATATACAACCCTGGTTTTATTGTGAATATGTAAAATTAACTTTCTATTTTATCATGCGAATACAACCCTGGTTTTATTGTGAATATGTAAAATTAACTTTCTATTTTATCATGCGATATACAACCCTGATTATATTGTGAGTATGTAAAATTAACTTTCAATTCACAATAAAACCAGGGTTGTATATTGCATGATAAAATATTTAAAATTAACTTTCTATTTTATCATGCGATATACAACCCTGGTTTTATTGTGAATATGTAAATTTAACTTTCTATTTATTACAGGTTGAATATTTGTATAGTATATTTCATGAGTGTCTTTATACTAATTTAATGTATAAATGACAAAGAGGACAGTTTTCCATGTTACTTTAGGACATCCAAACTCTAAAAGTATATCATACAAAGGTATTAACTAAAACTGTACGCCCAAACAAAAACGGACAGTATGAATGTGTATTCAACTTGTAATAAAAACAAGCTGTTTGAATGAGTAAAGTTAAGATTTCATTTCGTCGTGTTTGATTATATGTATAGTATACTTCAAGGTTTACATATATATTAGTTTAACTTACAGTCTACATAGAGGACTATTTCTCATATTATCATAAAACATTCAAACTATAGACATATATCATATGCACCACATAAGCTAACTGTAATACACTAGAGTCTGACTTTACATATAGACTATATATCTTACAATTAAATAGTCCTGAAAAGGACTGTTTTCATGTTAACAAAGTGTCCAATATGTCTGCATCCCATTTATAATGACACATATAACCATGTTTTTCATTCTTATGTTTGCTTTTACCTTCTAGGTTATTAAAATCTATATGAATTTTCTGATCCAACTAAGTATAGTAACACACGTATTACACAAATTACTGTACAACTAATTCAATCACCTATGTAAACTTTTCAAGTAAAGATTTTATCTTATATAACGTAAGTAAAATAACTAGCAACACTTACCATTTTATGTTTTTACACAGTATCCAACAGGACGTCAAAAGTTCTATGATTTTCTCTAACACACTCACTTTGAAGTGCAAAACCCTAGACCTCTACTATGTATAAACGTTCTTTAAATGTCACATATCACCGTGCGGAATTCCAGGAATAGCGACAACACAAGAATGTAGTCTCGTTTTACACTACTGTCTTTGTGCATAATAGTAATTGGAGAATTCCAGGAATAGCGACAACACAAGAATGTAGTCTCGTTTTACACTACTGTCTTTCTGCATAATAGTAATTGGAGAATTCCAGGAATAGCGACAACACAAGAATGTAGTCTCATTTTACACTACTGTCTTTCTGCATAATAGTAATTGGAGAATTCCAGGAATAGTGACAACACAAGAATGTAGTCTCGTTTTACACTACTGTCTTTCTGCATAATAGTAATTTGAGAATTCCAGGAATAGTGACAACACGAGAATGTAGTCTAGTTTTACACTACTGTCTTTCTGCATAGTAGTAATTGGAGAATTCCAGGAATAGTGACAACACAAGAATGTAGTCTAGTTTTACACTACTGTCTTTCTGCATACTAGTAATTCCAAATGACTTGTAT